TCGGGGCGCCTCTGCGGGAGTCGGGGGAGGAGCGGCCTCTGCGCGCTGTCCTGGTAGAAGTCGGTGTGAGGGGCCGGGACGAGAGTCCTTGCCGAGGGCCCTGGAGGTGTCCGACTGTCCATCGCGTCGCGTCGGGAGTTGGGACATTTTTGGCATTAGGCTGGCCTGCGTTGTGACTACCTAGCCGTGTGATCTTGGGCAAGTTCCCGAAATCCCCTGGAGCTTTTGATTCCTTGGCAGTAGATGGAAGATAAGGAAAGACCAACTTTGGCGGGGTTGTGGTGAGAATTTGTGTGCGAAGTCCCCGGCCCATGCACCTGATTCAGAGTTGCTGTTATTATTTTACTGGATGGTATTCAGAATTTGAGCCCAGGAGTTCCTGCTTCTCCACCTGCTGCTGGGGCATCTTTGGGCAAGTCATTAATCTCGTCTGAGCTTGCATTGAGTGACCTGCCTTACCTACTGTTATTCAAATACAACGTATGAGATGATGCATGAGTGTATTTACTCCCCAAATTTGCTACCAGTAGCCATGATCATCCTGCCCCTTCATCCATCCCACAAAGAACCCTTTGTCGACCTCTACCTTTCTTGCAAACCTCCTGTTGCAGGCAGCCTCTGCCTTCTTTTACAGAATCCTGAGAATCGCCCAGTGATGGTTATTGCTCAAGTCTGAAACAGTCAGAATCAGAGAGCTCCTTGAAGGGAAGGAAGGGTGCGCCAAAGGAATTTTCCAAGCGCTCAAACACCAGGAATTGCGGCTCCTGTGGTCTGTCCGGGAGGATAGAGTAGGACCTGAGGATCTGCTCCACTTTGGGCCATGGCTGGCCAGGGCCTGCCCCTTCACCTGGCCACCCTGCTGACAGGGCTGCTGGAATGCCTTGGCTTTGCGGGAGTCATCTTTGGCTGGGCTTCGCTGGTGTTTGTCTTCAAAACAGAGCATTACTTTGAGGAGCTGTGTGAACCGGATGCTGGGCTGACGGGCAACGGCACAGGGCAGGCTGGTAAGGGCAGTGATGACTTTTCTAAGAAAGTTGAGTCTGATTCCCAAGTGGTGGGAAGGGGCAGGAAGGACTTTACCCCTTGTCCACCCTGACAGCCTTTCAATGTTGAGAGGGAGAGGCAGCACTGCCCCCAACCACACGGGCTAGGAGGGGCCTAGGGAGAGAAATACCAGCTCGGGAGGGGTAATTAGTGACAGTCACATTTCAACTTGGCTTAAGGGAGAGCTTTCCTGGGCAAGCTAAGATGGAGGGTGTTCACTTGGCAGGAAGGCTGGGATGGATGGGAGGTTGACCCAGCCACCCTGGGCTTCTGAGAGCCTTTCTCCCCTCCAGAGTGCAAAGCCCAGGATGAGAGGTTCTCACTCATCTTCACCTTGGCGTCCTTCATGATCAACTTCATGACATTCCCCACCGGCTACATCTTTGACCGTTTCAAGACCACCGTGGCCCGCCTCATAGCCATGTAAGCCCCAAAGACCCAGCCTGGGCAGAGGTGGGCAAAAGGAATTCTTCAGACAGCAGCCCAGCTTGGAGGGAAGCCGAGCCCCTGCATCAGCAGCTGGCTCCCAGCTGCTCTGTTAGGAGCGGCCCTAACAGGCTGTGTCTGTAGACCCGCCACCTCCTCCCACAAGCCTGCTTCCCCTCCCTCACCTCCTTCCCTGCTCCTTGTGAGTGTGTCTTCCTGTCATGTGCTGAGTTGAGCAGGAGTCCAGGCTGACTTCCTGTGAGGGCTGGCCTGGTGTAGGGTTAATCATCCTCCTCACCAGCCTCCCCACCCCCATCGCTCCCCAAGGGCTTAGCTAATAAGGTTTTCTGGGCAACTCCCATGGTGGAATTTCAGGCCCCCTCGGACTGGAGGGGAGACGGTGGGGTCTCCCATGCAGCTGAGTCAGAGAGGGTCAGGGACTTGATTTCACTCACACGCGCACACAGTGTGCTACTGCATCCTGCCCTCAGTGCTCTGTGACCAGGTTCAGCAATAAGCAGTCGCCTGCTGGGGCCGATACAACCCAGAGAGGCACCCCCAGGGAGGCATGTGTGAGATCTGCTGTCAGAGAATCAGCCAGGCCTGGGCCAGGGCCAGGAAATAGCCAGAGAGTAAAGCAAGTCCCTTACACTTTAAGCCTTTGGGCGCATAATGACTATACCTCAGTCTTTCTTGGTCTTTGGCTGCCAGTTTCCTCCTCTTCCCTCCTTTTCCCCCCTCCCTCTTCTCCAGCCTTAGGACACCATTTCTATTACACCATGCCTTACAAGACCCCCAACTGCTAAGGGATCCCTATAATTTTGGGAGTGTGGTCCTGAAATCACAGCATTATAAAGCTTTAAGCTTGGAGTCTAGATCAGTCCAGCCATTTCTTTTTACAGAAAAGGCAACTGAGGCCCACAGAAGGGCAGTGCCTTGCCCAAAGTCATTCAGCAAAGAGGAATTAGAACTCATGGTTTTGATTTTCAGACCAGGCACTAATCCCTTTCTCCAAGGGGTTGGCCTTGGGACATCCAGGTGGGAGGGCCTTGGCTCTGCCCGCTCTGCCCCTGCTAGGTCCTGAGCCAATCATGTCCTCAGCTGAGCTTCATTGTCCATGACTTCTCAGTCTTGCCTTGGACTTCGATGAGCAAATTGTACTGTCTGTGAGGTCGGGACCATATCTCAATCACTCTGGGGCTTCTCTCCCTGCTTCTGAGCCTCGGGCTCAAGGGGCATCAGTGCCCATTGAACTCCAAGGCTGAGAATGGAGTCAAATCCTAAATTTGGAGGTTGGGTGAGCAGAATCCTGTTCTGTCTCCCAGGTGTCTCGTTTCTTGACAATATTCTCCTCCTGTTCTGTATTTCAGATTTTTCTATACCAGTGCCACACTTACCATAGCCTTCACCTCTGCAGGTGAGTGCCAGCAGTTGGGTGGGAGGAACACAAGCTCAGGGGCACCTGGTAGATAGGGCAGGTGCAGAAGGGCATGGGAAGGACAGATGGACTCCATGGCAGAGACCCACAGCTTGAAAGAATCCTTGAGGGATATTGAGTTATTGCTGGTCTGTATAAAAAAGAAAAAATAGTTTAGTCTACTGAGAATACGTGAAAAGGAAGGACAATGAAGAGGGATTGCTAATTTATTCAAGATTACATCCTCCTAGCACGTGTTAAGATGTTTTCTCTTTTCTTATTAAAATGATAATATGAATGACCATTTTGAAAATTTTCTTACTTAGCAGTATAAAAGCGGACAACCCTATTGTACTCAAAAGCTTTTTTTCCCCCAGATTTTACTAGTCTAGGGCTGGCTGGTTAGCTCAGTTGGTTCGAGCAGGCCACAGACAGGACCAGGACCATCTTTGGTGGGGAAGATGGTGGCTTTGGATACCTCCGCAGGGACATTTGAGGGAGCCTTGGCCAGTACCAGTAACTTAAGATCCTCGAAAGATGCTAGAAGCCTGGCTGGAATAGGAGCCCAGACCCCAGGGTTGTTGGGAATATGGAGTGGGTGGGGAGGTCGGCTTCCTGGAGGAAAGGGGACTGTGTGCCAGCATTGGGGGCTCCACGTTTCGGTTGCCCTGTGCTGCCACCCAACTCTGACTTTGATCTTCAGACACAGCCCTGCTGCTCTTCCTGGCCATGCCCATGCTCACCGTCGGGGGAATCCTGTTTCTCATCACTAACCTGCAGGTTGGAGCCTGCCCCAATCCCAGGCACTGGGCAGGAGGCTGGGGCAATGAAGGGGAAGGTGGAGGGAAGGAGAGGCACTTTTCTACAGCTGGTTGCCTCAGATGGTATTGGTCAAGGCTAGGGTGGGAGCTCTTGGGGTGGAGGGTGGGTTTGGGTATAATGAATGGCTGCCTCATGCTGGGTGCTCAGGAACCACTTGCTTCATGAATAAAGAAGTGATTCAGGCTGGTCATTTCCTCTCCAGATTGGGAACCTGTTTGGCAAACACCGTTTGACCATCATCACCCTGTACAATGGAGCATTTGACTCTTCCTCAGCAGTCTTCCTCATCATTAAGGTAAAAATAGTAATCACCAATATTTGCTGAGCACTTATATATGTCTTGTGAACCTTGCGTGATTTCTCCCCATCAGCCCTCTGAGGTAGGTATTTTTGAATCCCCATTTTACAGATGAAGCATTTGTGTCTCAGAGAGGTTAAGATGCTTCCTGAGGGTTCTGGAGCTAGTAACCGTGATGCTTGAACTTGAACCAGGCCTGTATGGTTCTAGAGCCTGAGTTTGTAATCACTAAGCCCCTTCTTCACATTTACCCAGGGTTTTTGGGAAGAGGTGTTTGGAAGGTGTGGTCATGATGTGCTTGGGCCAGTGTTGGGCAGAGGCTGGGAGCCCATTGGAATGGGGTGTTTGTTGCTGTGAGCTTCTAGTTTGGACAAGGAGTTGGGAAGTGGCTAGTAGGGACAGCAGGGGTGCATGCAAAGGCCTGTTCAGCTCTCCTGCAGGCTGACACTGTGTATTGGGGTGAATGGGTGCCAGTGCTGTTAGTGGCCCATCTGCAGCCCTTTTGCCTTCTTCATTGCTGATGGTTTCATCTGGGCAGTGGCTTGTCCAGCCTAGGGGATGCGTCCTGATTGACCTAAGCCAACCATGGCAAGCTCCTTCACCAGTGATGGGTAGAGGTGAGAATGTGATCCCATCTTGTTTATGAGATAAAGGGGGTGTATAGTAGAGGACTTTAGGGGACATCTCCTCCCTGATGGAAGGTGAGAGCAGAACAAAATGAAAGCCTTCCTCCTGGGTCCCCCTTCTTACCTTCCTCTTTGAATGTAGCAGTGAGAGGATGTGACAGCTGGACTTGTGACAACTGTATTTTGATTATAAGGCATCAAGCCAGAGGACAAAAGCCAGCACACTAAAGATGGCTGAGTGAAAGGAATGAAAGACTGTGGATCCCAAGCTGCTCAATCTGCGATTTCATTCTGGGCTTTGTGTTAGGCCAGAGGCAACTGGTACTGCCTGCAGGCCATGGGGAAGAGAAGATCTCCGGCAGTCACTACCCAGACATGAGCCTAGTTTAGTCCCATAAGCACCATGGCTTGGAGGGTCACCCGGAGCCTGAGCTCCTGGTGCACTAACTCCAGCCTTTCTACTCCTGGTGCAAGGCCACTTTCCAGGCTCTCCTACTACCGCAGGGTGGGCCTGCCTTTCACTCCTCTCTTCAGAGTTGGAAGGAAAAAGAGTGCTGGAGCAGGAGCAGGAATTTAGTTTAATCTGATTTTGCCGCTGCTTACTCTGACCTTGTGCAATTCATGGCGCCTCTCTGGACCTCCATGTAAAACGGGAAGGTTGAACTAGATAGTGGTTTTCAAACTGGGCATTGAGGAACTTAGGAGTTCCCTTTCATGTCATGCCAGTCACCAAGGAGAATGCAGGGGAGGATGACTGGGTGGCCCCTCACTGATGTGTTCTGTGACTTGAATTTTTATGTAAAATTTTGTTTGAACAAAAGGATACTACTTTTGGGGGGAAAAAGTAAAAGCATTGTGCTAGACGATCTTTGAGGAGCAACGCTAGGAGGCTCCACAAGGCTATGGGACAGGTGACACGATGCCTGCCCTGCTGCTGGTGGGTGAGGGCACGTGTATCAGATGCTTAATCAGCTTACAGGATGGGATGCAAGAGCCTGTACTAAGACTCCTTCTTGCAAGCTGGAGTTCCAGCCCCTGCCTCTTACACTGCCTATTTTGTGTGTGATAAAATATGCATAACATAAAATTTACCATCTTAACCATTTTGAAGTGTACAGTTCAGTGGCATTAAGTACATTCACACCATTGTGCAACCATTGTCACCATCTGTTTCCGGAACCCTTCTCATCTTAAAAATTGGAAATCTATACCCATTAAGCACTAACTCTCCATCCCTCCTGTCCCCCGGCCCCTGGCAGTCACCATTCTATTTTCTGTCTTTATGAATTTGACTACTCTAGGAGCCTCATATAAGTGGACTCGTACAGAATTTGTTGTTTTGTGACTGGCTTATTTCACTTAGCATAGTGTTCTCAAGGTTCATTCATGTTGTAGTGTGTGTCAGAATTTCCTTCTTTTCTTAAGGTGAATAGTATTCCCTTGTGTGGATATACCACATTTTGTTTATCCATTCATCCATTGACGGACTCTTGGGTTGCTTCCATCTTTTGGCTGTAATGACTAATGCTGCTATGAGCATGGGTGTTACACTGATTTTTTTTCCTTTTTTTGCAGCTTCTTTATGAACAAGACGTCAGCCTCAGGGCCTCCTTCATCTTCCTCTCTGTCTGTAGTGTCTGGCATGTTGGGCGTACTTTCCTCCTGATGCCCCGGGGGCACATCCCCTACCCACTGCCCCCCAACTACAGCTATGGGTAAGGATGTTGATCTGGTGATTTTGGGCCAAAGCCCCTCATCTGATCTAGTATAGGAAGCAGGCGGGACACACAGGGCAGAGGGAAACCTGTGACGGGAGAGGACTGGTGCAGGGGTGTATCAGTTAGCTATTGCCGTATAACAAACTATGTCCAAGCCCAATTATGCATTTATTATTTTGCACAAGTCTGTTAGTAGCTGGTTAGTTCTACTGATCTGGGCCAGATGTGGATGATCTTGACAGGGTTGGCTCACACCCCTGATCATCTGGTGGGTGAGCTGGGGGCTCGCTGGCCTAGGATGGCCTCACTAATGTGGGCTTTGGAGTGACAGGGATGTCTAGGTCACATGGATCTCATCCTCAAGCAGGTTAGTTTGGGCTTGTGCACGTGGTAGTTTCAGGGTTCCGAGAGAGAGTACAGAAATGCACATGGTTTCTTGAGGCTTATGCTTGGAATTGGGACATCACTTCTGCAGCATTCTCTTGGCTGAAGCAGTTCACAAGGCCAGCACAAATTTGGGGTAGGAAATAGAGCTGGAAAGTCGCATCGCAAAGGGTGGAGATGCAGAGGAAGTGAAGAAATGTGAGCATTTTTGTAGACATGTAACACAAAGAGTAGAGGGAGGGCATTCATTTGCCT